CAGATATAAATGCAAGAGGTGAGTCACTTTTTGATTATATTCTAAGTGAAGACTTATGTATCTGTAATAGAGGAAACGAACCGACCTTTATCACCGCGGCAAGGCAAGAGGTCCTTGACCTCACCCTAGCCTCGTCTTCTGTAATATCCCGCGTTTCCGACTGGAGGGTTCTTAATGATCACTCCTTTTCGGACCATAGGTATATTCAGTTTTTTCTGGACGAAGATCGTCCCAAAAGTATCCCCTTTAGGAACCTTAGGAGAACAAACTGGGACCTCTATAGTAAAAAACTTCGGGAACTACTCCCAGAGGCCCCCCAGGAGAGCTTAAGCACCGAAGGCTCGATTGATGTTATGGTGGAAAAGTTTACATCAGCTTGTAGGAGTGCCATCGAAATCTCTTGCCCGCTGAGTAGGCCGGGGGGGCAAAGTACGACCAAAATGGTGGACGGTGGAACTCTCAGAACTCAGGGCGACGAGTAGACGCCTGTTCAATAAAGCCAGGAAGAGTGGACAACACTTCGACTGGGAACTCTATAAGATCGGACTGGGCATCTATAAGTCCGAGATAAGAAAGGCCAAGAGCGAGTCATGGAGAAACTTCTGCGAAGCCGTAGAAGGTTGTAATGAATCATCTCGATTTAGGCGAATCCTTGCGAGGAATCCCGTACCCTTGGGATACCTGAGGGACGAAGAGGGCAACTGGGCGATGAGTGGAGAGGAATCGCTTAAGCTACTCCTTGATACTCATTTCCCAGAAAATCCTGCACCGCGCGAACCTATCGCTGTTGGAAAGGGCGAATGCTCTACCTCCTCCTCCGGTGAATTACTGGAGAGGCGCCGATTGCTCTGGGCAATCGACTCTTTCAAGCCCTTCAAGTCCCCGGGACCGGATGGCATCATTCCTGCGCAGCTGCAAAAGGCTGTGGAGGTCTCGTGCCGCTGGCTCACCCCTATCTATGCGAGCTGCCTAGAAAGAGGATACATCCCGGGGGCTTGGAGGTGCGTAGGGGTCACGTTCATCCCCAAGGCAGAGAAGAACTCTCATGTATCCCCGAGGGACTTCAGACCAATCAGTCTCTCATCTTTCTTATTGAAGACTTTTGAGAGACTGATTGACCTGCACTGACTGATTGGGCTTGCTGTCAATCCTGGAAAGACGGAGCTCGTTCTTTTTACCAGGAGGTACAAAAAGCCTCATGCCCAGCTTCCCTCAATAGGGGGTGTTCCACTTGTTCTCTCTGACAGGGTCAAGTTCTTGGGCGTGATCCTGGACGGAAAACTGTCATGGAAACCTAATATTGAGGAACGAGTGAGGAAGGCATCGGTGGCCCTCTACTGCTGCAAGAATGCCATAGGGAAGAGATGGGGCCTCTCCCCAAAAGTGATGTATTGGCTATATGAAACCATAATTAAGCCAATAATGTTGTATGGGGTCATCGTCTGGTGGAGTTCACTGGAAAAGACCACTCATGTTAGGAAGCTAGAGCGCGTGCAAAGGGCAGCCCTCGTTGGGATCAGCGGGGCGCTCCGAACCACTCCCACCTTAGCGCTAAACGCTATACTCAATGTCGCACCTGTCGATATTTCGGGCAAAGTAGCGGCGGTTCGCTCAGCCATTAGGCTCAAAAGCTCTGGGTTCTCTTTCAATCCAGCGCACGGACACTCGACAATTCTCGAAAGCTTCGACTTCGTGCCGAAAGAAATGGACCGGGGTCACCCGAGGCTGGCCCCTAAAGGATCCTTCTCCACGCACATCCCCTCTAGGAATGAATGGAAGAGGGGTGGTCTCTGGAGAAGAGGTCCAATAAACATCTTTACGGACGGATTGAAGCTGGAAGGGAGAGTTGGAGGAGGTGTCTACTGTCAGGAACTCTCAGTAGATCTTACTTTCAGACTGCCGGATCTCTGCAGCGTCTTTCAGGCAGAGGTGGCCGCTATAAAGGAGGCAGCCGATTGGCTACGCACCAATGTACTGTCAAAAAGGAGGGTAAATATATATACTGATAGCCAAGCGGCAATCAGGGCGCTGGGATCGCTAATGGTGTGCTCAAAACTGGTTGGGAAATGCCTGACCTCTCTCTCAACTGCCTCGGAGTACTTCCAGATCAAGCTGATTTGGGTCCCGGGGCACAGTTATATCGCGGGAAATTGCAGGGCTGATGAACTGGCCAGGCAAGGCACCCTTGAGGCCATCACCTCGGATAGGGAGGGCATTGGAGTTCCGTTGGCAACCTGCGGCCTGCTTTTGGACAGATGGGCTCATGGTCGGCTCAGCGAGCGCTGGGAAAAAACCCCGACTTGCAGAGTTGCAAGGTCCTTCTGGCCGGTTGTGGACCGCGGGCGGTCAAGGGAACTGCTGCAGCTGGCTAAGCGTCAGCTCTTGATTTTCACAGGTGTACTGACCGTACACTGTCCAATGGGAACCCACGCGGTGCGACTCAATATCGTCACGGATCCCTACTGCCGCAGTTGCCTGGAAGACGAGGTGGAATCATCTCAGCACTTCCTACTCAACTGCCCGGCATTCGCTAGATTACGGTTTAAGCATCTCGGTGCGCATTTCATTGACACTCCCGAGGGACTCTCCGGAGTGGACATCAGCTGTTTGAAGAACTTCATTATGAGCACCCAGCGCTTCTCGTAATTTTTACGCAGTTACCGTTCCTATGTAATGTGGTATCACAATGGACAATCAAATGTCTAAGTGAGTCCCCTTTGCGGGTCTGCCACCTTAACCTAACCTAACCTAGAGCTGCATACTGATATAAGAAATTTTTTATATAAGCAAATTTATTTTCCATTTATTGTGCGTAATTTTATAAGAATCTTTAATTTTTTGGGAGCCTTTATTTTTCATTGAAAACTTGTTTTTTTTAACACTGTGCGACAGCTCAAATCGGTATTGAGTAAAACCAAATGCAAGTGATAGTTTTTGAATTTCATTGCGTTTTTTAATAAATACTAAATTAGAGGCGTATGTATGTTAAAAAAAATCAGTCGCGATGCATTATATACATACATACATAAGTATGTACATACCTAATAAACATTCGGCTTGGTTAACAATTCGAAAATGATTCGAAAACCAATCTTTTTCGAGTCTCAACTTCGATAACGAATGTGAAATAAATTAGTATTCGAGAACTGGGCCATTCTCCAGCAAAATGGAACCTTCGTTATCCAATATATTTTTCTTTAATGAGAGAGAGTGATTTTCTTATATTTCCCTTCGAGAATGAGCTGGATATCATTTTCTCTCTTGTTACTATGGTTTCCATTTTCTGGGACCCATCTCGAGTATATTTCTAATATACTATATACGTTGGAAAACTAAGGTTGGCTATGAGTTGGTTCTCAGTTCGATATTCATATTGTATGTCGAAGGTCATTTTCGAACATTCGCCAAAATGTTTATTGGGCACATACATATATATCTGGACTCACAAATCGGATTTTACGATTATAGTTGTCTGCATAACCCATTGGCAAATAAAAACTTTATCCGATTTTTTTAAATCGAAACTATATTTTTACATACATATGTATGTACATACATGCATACATAAATATATATAATATGAAGTTAAAATTTCAATCAATTTCAATTTGCGCAATCTTCAAACCCATGGTTTCAATTGTACGCATTTCGTCAGGGTTTTCCCCACAACTTGGTTTTGCTGCAGTGAAGTGAAGAGCAAGTGAAGTGAAAAAAATATATCCGGACACTTATATATATATCTATGCACATATGTATCTTTGCACATACATATCTATGCACATACATGCATATGTACTTATGTATGGATATCAGCATTTTAGTTGAAAGCACATTTTGCTCGTCGCTCTCTTCATCACTCCACTACATTCCTGTCCTTAGTTTTATTCAGATACCACAAATGTATGTTTTCTTCAAAAATACTCAAGTACTACCAGTAGAGTACTCTACTGTCAAATACCTTTTACTCGCAGTAGTTGCAGAAGGCAAAGTAAATACTCTACGCGTCTTGCTATTGATCGGAAATTTACGTACGCTTGCAGAAACTGGTTTATGCTTACTCACACTTGACCCGAACGATGAGAGTAAAGGAGGGAAAGTATTTGAACGGCGATCGGATGTCTTGCTAGGCCGTTTAAATGCAATTGCGCAGGAGTTTAATGTACATACATACATACATACATACATACATACATAATTTAATTAATAAAATTACATACTAATGAATAAGCACAAATATTAACCCGCCAACAAGCACATAAACCACGCTTCATTGGGAATTCAAAGAAGTGGGGAATTATTCCAGTTAATATAAATCGTCGTTTAAAATACAAAACCGCGTATCGTCGTTCTGCAAAACCGCGTAACTGACATTTTTTGCCAAAAATTGGATTTGCTCACACAAGCTCTTGGCTCAATCCTTATCCATTCGCCCTGAAATATACTAGCCAGAAATGCGAATGATTTATAAAGAAAACCATTTTGAAATGTGAGTATTTTTACTCTCTTGAAAATAATTTATGCACCTCTCATACGCGGTTTTTTCATTTTATTGATACGCGGTTTTATATAAAATATAAATTAATGTATTAAACGACGAAATATATTAAATGTGCAAATCAAAGGTTTTCAAATTTTATTAAAACACACAACGTATGTACACATGTAAATACGAACTATTGGCAAATATTCACGCAGTTCTGATTGTCTACATTCATATTTTTCATAACCAAATAACGAAATACAATTTTTCGTTTATAAATGGTTTTTAAATCCATATTAACTTTTTATTTACACATGTACATTCTGATCGAAAAATTTCAATCTAATATCCGTTTCTCTTTTGTAACATGTCCGTTTCCTCTAGAATTTCAGTGACAGGACAGAACACTGGTCTGAAAACTGTGCTTCACCTTTTTTGCGATGTTCTTACGATTTTTCGATCCACAACAATGCCTTCCAACTGTCAATCGTATGTGGAATGTAATTCGAGTGAAATGTCACTTTTGACATCTTTTCGCTGTGCATTCGCTTATTGTTTTCATTTCTGGAGGTTTCGTGGTTTTTGTGAATTTTATAAAAAATTTAAATACATTAATTGTTCTTTGCAATAAAGTGAAATCTGCAAACCCTTGAGCATAGGTGCCGCAATCAAAATAAGTAAAAAATGCCGCCAACTATCATTAGTACGACGGTAAATGCCGACAAGCGGCCGCTTCGCCCTGCTGAACGCAAGTGAGTACCTACATACATACATAAATGTGCAAAAATCCTGTACAAATTTTACATATTTCGTATTCGTTTTCATAAACTAATAAAACCTAATTTCGTTAGATCTGAATTAATTTGCCGCGTGAAATACGGCAATAGTTTGCCCGACATCCCTTTTGACTTGAAATTTCTGCAGTATCCGTTTGACAGTAATCGCTTTGTGCAATATAATCCCACTTCCCTGGAGCGCAACTATAAATATGAAGTGCTCACTGAACATGACTTGGGTGTTACAATTGACTTAATTAATCGCGATCTTTATCAAGCCGATCCATATGCTCAACTTGACCCAGCCGACGAAAGACTACTGGAGGAAGATGTGCATACGCCACATGATTCGATGCGTTCTCGCCAGCATTCGCGTAGTGTTTCGTGGTTGCGTAAATCAGAATATATTTCGACTGAACAGACGCGCTTCCAACCGCAAAATCTTGAAAATATAGAAGCTAAGGTTGGTTACAATGTTAAGAAGTCTCTACGTGAGGAGACCTTGTACCTAGATCGTGATGCACAAGTTAAGGCTATCGAGAAAACATTCAACGATTCTAAGCAAGAAATCACCAAGCACTACTCCAAACCGAATGTGGTACCCGTCGAAGTACTGTCTGTGTATCCAGATTTCAAGAATTGGAAGTATCCATGTGCCCAGGTTATTTTCGACAGCGATCCGGCACCTGCTGGCAAGAATGTACCAGCACAATTAGAGGAGATGTCACAAGCCATGATTCGTGGTGTGATGGACGAAAGTGGCGAGCAATTCGTTGCCTATTTCCTACCCACAGAGGAAACTTTAGACAAGCGACGTAATGATTTTACCGAAAATATACTGTACAAGGATGATGAAGATTACGAGTACAAAATTGCACGTGAATATAACTGGAATGTTAAAAGTAAAGCGTCTAAGGGTTACGAAGAAAATTACTTCTTCGTTGTACGTCAAGATGGTGTATTCTACAATGAGCTGGAGACGCGCGTGCGTCTCAATAAGCGCCGTGTGAAAGCAGGACAACAGCCAAGCAACACCAAATTAGTAAGATTTTTTATTAGAATAATAATAAAAAGTGCTAAATATGCTTGTTTCATTCAAGGTGGTAAAACATCGTCCACTTGACTCCAATGAGCATCGCATGCAACGTTACCGTGAGCGCCAACTGGAACCACCCGGCGACGAGGAAGAGGAAGAAATGGAAGAAGAAGAGGAAGAGGAGGAACAAATTACTACGCAAGCAACAAACGATAATGAGAACAATAAAGACAGTCAGGGCGGTGAAGGAGAGGAATCGGAAATTGATAATGCCGAAGCTGCACAGAAGGCCAAGGATCGCCAGTCACGCTCACGTTCTAAATCGCATGCGAAATCTCGTTCTGTTTCAGGGTCACGATCCGGTTCTGTCTCACGTTCAGGTTCAGGTTCTCGCGCTTCCCATTCGCGTTCCCGTTCGCGATCCAAATCAGGCAGTCGCAGTCGTAGTGGCTCTCGTTCGACAGCACACTCACATTCTCGATCACGTTCTGCATCTAAATCACCATCACGTTCTCGTTCTGCCACTCCAGCTGGTTCCCATAAATCCGCTTCACATTCTCGATCCGCTTCACGCTCACAATCGCGTTCTGCAAGCCGTTCACGCTCGCCCTCGGGCTCTCGTTCCCGTTCCGCCTCGCAATCACATTCACCATCAAAAACCCCAGCACGTTCGCGTTCACGCTCCCACTCTGGCACACGTTCACGCTCTCGCAGCGCATCTGGATCACGCTCCGGTTCAGCATCACGTACTCCATCACGTTCAGGCAGTGCTACCCCGAGTGGTTCCGGCAGCGGCTCCGGTAGTGAATCAGAAGCCGAGCAATAAATACTACTTAAAAATTGAAATAAAGAAAGTTACGGCATATGCTCTAAATTTTACGATTTTCGAATGGATATACTATTTGAGTAATTGTAATTTATGGAAAGGTTTATTTGGAAAAAAATAAAGCCGCCAATACAAATAGATTAGAGGTAGCAACATTAAGATTGTGTAAAATCAATAGAAACAACAGATGGTTGTATAGCTGCGCTGATGCTATCCGACGTCGTGGAACGTGTAGTGGAAATGGGTATTTCTGTGAAAAAATGCGAATTTAATTAATTTATTTATTTTAGGGTTTGTTTTTGGAAATATTTAAAATAGCAAACCTCTGGAGGAGGACGTTTCCGACAAATCACTGCGCCACGAAGCAAAGCTGCGCGTTTTCTGAAGCAAATGTGGCATCTTCAAACCCTTTTCCAACATAATGCGTATCACTTTTGGACCAATATCATCATCGTTCTCTGCCATATCAGCCAGTTGATTAAGCGCGCTTGAGTTGCGGTATTCCAGCTCTCGTAAATCTAATTCTCGTTCATAGCCTGCGATAAATTCTTTACCCAAATTACGTTCTTTTACAGCTTTCAAAGAATTCTTGACTTCGCGCTCAGCGCGTTGAAGTTTGGTTTTCTGATCACTAAGTTCCTTTTGCAATTTCTCTAGAATTTCAAAATTATCCAGGCTGTAGAGAAAAAATTAAAAATAAATGTTTTTTGAGTTCAAATAATTATGATTCAAATAATTTATTGCACCTACTTTCGGACGGTTAAAACCTCTAATTGACGTTGTAGATCTTCACATAGTGCAAGATTTTTATCATTATCCTTTTCTATTTGTCGATGCTTGCTACGCAGTGCCTTAAGTTGGGTCAAGGCTTGACAATAGTTGGATTGCAATTGCTTTACTTCTTCCAAAACTTGATCTGTTATGGTATAAGATATAAAGGCAGCAAATTGTTAATGGCTCTAAAACTTCTCTAAGTAAAATTCACCTTCATCAACTTTCTTATTCAGTTTACTTCGATAGGAGTCATTCGAATTATTCAGCAGCATCAAAGTATTTTCCATTGCTTTAATATCCTCTTCGGCCTTGATGACCTTCGCATTCAAGTTGTTACCCTCATCCAAAAGCATTTGCTTCTCTTGCGCTGCTTCCACCTTCAGTTGGGTAGCTGTAACCAAAGTGCCATCCTCATTCATGCCCATAAGCTTGGAAGTCAATTCGAAGCGGGCACGCAGCACATCAATATGTTTCGTACGTTCGCCGATATCGGCCAGCAATGTGCTTCTTTCATCATTCAAATGTTTACGTTTCAGATTCAACAAATCAATTTGGCTTTTGATCTCCACTAAACGATCCTTCATTGTGCGATTTAATTGTAATCGGTGTTTGCCCAAATTATAGGTGTTAGTTTCGCATGCCACCATCTCGTTTTCGAACTCTTTGATGCGCATCTTCAAGAGACTTAACTCGACAATCTTCTGCTGATTCTTGTTCTTCTCGATACTGAGACGCTTAACGCCACCCTCGCAATACATTTGTGCCTCTTTTATATCAAAAAGCTGCATAAAAAGTGGAAATAGGAGTGAATTTTAAAAGTATTCAACGCTAATAGTTCATTATTTTCACCATATTTTGCAAATTTTTGTTATCGGCATTGTAAACATCAGTTAAATTGCGCATATTGTAGTCTAGCTTTTTGTTCTGTGCCTCGGTTGTTTGCAAACGTCGCTGCAAAGCACTGTTTTGAGCCTCTAGTTTAGTCAAATATTGCTGTGCTTCTGCCTCCTCTATCGGATCATAATCTCCACCTTGTATTTGTATGATTTTCCTTTCAAATTGTAGGCATTTGAACGCCTTAAGAAATCATTGGAAATTCAATGAGTAGAAAAAGATTAGGTTAAATTGCACAGCCTAGAACGGTATTTACTTTAAAAATTTTGCTAAAATACGTACCGCCTCGTAGTGTACCTCCGTCATGCGCCTTAGCTCCTTTTCCTCTTTCTTCGTATTTTTGATGACGGTTGCAGCGCTTGCCGATAATCCGCTGTTGGAGACCTACAAGTAATACATATAGGTATATAGTTGATATGAATGATAAATTGTATTGACATTTAACTAGGGTTTTAATTAAAAGATATTTAAGTTAAATATTTTCCAACTTCGGCTACAGGGAATCCCTCCTAGTCCGGTTTTTGTGAAATCTAGAAAAATGATATTTCTGAACCCGATTAGCTATGCATAATATATACACTCAAACTGTAATTGATACATTCGTAGATATTTGGATGCAATGGTTTAACCGCTCGACCATGGCAGCCGCCAATTAGAAAGTATCCAAGCATATTTCATGCGTGCGAAGATAAACTCGCGGAAGTAAATACTATTGCAATAAGAAACCCATAGTTCTAAGATATACCTAGGTTATGTCGCCGCCGTGCAGGAAAAATTTAGAATGTTCGTTGATTTCAGGGCAGCTAAGCAATTGAAAAAGTACTTGTTGAAGAAGTGGTGGCGCCATCTGGCTAGGGCGGGTCAGTAATAGAGATAGTGTCCAATATTATCCACCTCTTCCTGTTGTTGTTGTTGTTGTTTTAACGGCCCTACTAAGCCTAAGTGGATTCCACATCCCACATGGTATTTATCTCCCCAAGGAGTTCAGCCTTTAATCTGTGTATGCAGTAGGTTAGAGGTATGCCCCGAGCAGAGTTGATATTTCCGTCCCTCTCCTTGCTAGCTAGTCGGCTAAGCATTTGCCAGGAATGTCACATGCCACAGTCAAGGAGCATAACTGTTAGATGTCAATGGTTAGATTCCTGAGTAGAGGGGAGAGAACCCCCTTGGGGAGTGCGTCTTGTTACATGTTTAATTTTGGAACGATCCTCAGTTCTGAAATAATAATTCTCTGTCCGAGCAGGAGGCCAACGAAATCCATCAGTCCCCGGTGCACCCCCACCCTATGAAAGGGAATTAATAACAGCTTTAGGATAGGACAAAATTGAAGGCTCGCTCGATATTTAGAGAAACTTCCAGCCTGTATTTCTTTATAGTCAGTACTTTTTCAATTTTCTATACGATTTCATTAAGCGGGGCCTGCGCGGATTGTTTCTAGGATTTTCAAAAGAAACGAAGTGAGGCTTATAGGCCTGAAATATTTCGATTTCACATGAACGGCCCTTCGTCTTTGTCCACTTGTATGGTATGGGAGTTAGGGTTAGACAGGCTGTAAAAATCTGATAAAGCAGAGAGCACATCTGCTTTTAGGTCCGCGGGAAAGATTCCATCAAGTCCCGGAGATTTGTAGGGTTGGAGAGACATTGTATGAAATTACGACTTTATCATAAATTACGATGTCCGTAACGGTATTGCCTGGGTAGGACTTGTTCCTTGGAACGCGCGAATTATCGGAGGTATCGTCAAAGCACGCCGGGAAGTGAGTGCTCATAAGAACTTCCAGCATTCTGTTACATGATGTCTCCTGTCACCGTTAGGCTTCTGGATGGAATTCATACTCGCAACCTGTTGTCTTCACAGTTTTTTTCTATGTTGTTGCAAAAGTTTTACCAAGATTCGTCCTTCTGTTCTTCCTCAATGCAGAAATCTCAGAATTTGCGTTACTTAAGCTCATAAAGAAACTTTATTTCCTCTTTACTTTACTTCCTGAGATAGCAAATAGATTGGCCAGCCTGATTTGACCCTTTGCTGTCACTAGAAAAAAAAAAAATAATTCAAACAATATAAGAGAGAGAAGAGGTGGTACCCTATAGGACTACGCCGGGGAAATATATTTACTGTGTACTGAAGAGATTTCAACTTATACTTCACCAGCCAAAGAAGAAACTGAAACTAGCAGAGAAGCGGTCACCGTAACTTAGTGCTTGAGCATGCATCCTAAAACTCGGTAGGGCACAGGTTCGATTCCTATTCCAACATTTACGTATTTTTCTATTAACGTTCACCTCTCGGCAGTCAATGGCAAACCAACGAAATTATTTTCATAAATGAGCACATTAAACTTTTCTTTGTTAGAAAGTGACGTAAAAGTAAATGTTCCTCCCTTTATTTGTCCACCACCACCAGCAAATGTGGGAGAACCATTTTCACAAAGTATCCCGCGTTATGATAAAGGACTCGAAGCGTTACGATCCCCATCAGTGGCTGCCGGCTAACTAATTTATTTCTTGCCGTGCGGAAGGAGGACGGTAGGAACTTCAATCACATCCAGCTTATGCATGACGTGGACAGCATCAGAGGGTATGTAGAAAAAATTGATATCTGAGAGAACTATTTGGGAGAATGTCAGTGCAGTATTAATCGATAGTAGCTTCAAATAATATTCAAAGCTCTTGCCAGATTTTATTCCTAACGGCTTCTTTTCTCTACGTGGACGCCCTGGCTGCAAAGCTCGGCACATTGGCCTCTTACCTAGTAAAAAAATTTCTAATTACCAGTTTCTGGTTAACACCGACTACAGGTGAAACATCGTTATGGACGTGATCGACACAGACATTGAGAAACTGGCGGCCCTTAGATAATTTTTTAATACGTAAGAAATTGAATGTTGAATCCATTCAGGTCTATTTCAGAACAATTTGAGATTAGTTCAGGACTAATTTGGACCTAGTTCGGGTTTATTTTTGGCCTAGTTCAGCGCTATTTCGGACTGGTTTAGGTATATTTTAGGACCACTTCAAGATAGTTCGACAATTTCGGGCCTAGCTCTGGACTAGTTGAACAACCTTTATGAAATAATAATAATAATAATAATAATAATAATAATAATAATAATAATAA